GACTAGAATTTTGATGTGTTAGACTGACAATTATCCACTAAATATTTGAATTCGAAGGTGTTTGTTAAAAATGACAAAGTTCATCGGATTTATTTTCTGTTCATGTGGAATTAAATAAAGCAGGAATAAATGAGCTTTATTCCAAATGTATATCTTTAGATGATTGATATGTATGCATGCAATCATTTATCATTGAATTATCAGTAGTCAGTAAGATGAATGACTGATTGCTTTTGATGCAATCGAACAGTTATAACTGTCGTAATTACCGTTTGTAGCAATATCTGTCAAGTATCATTTATCATCATGTATTTATCAGTTATCACTGTATGTCTGGTTGTCGTAATTACCCTTTATAACAGTGTCTGTCAAGTATCAGTTATCATCATGTGTATTTATCAGTTATCATTGTATGTTTGGCGTTTAATATCTAACATTGCGACCATTTCACAAAGCTTTTATTACATAGTGCAATCATAGTTTCGGAAAGTTTTTATCACATAAGATAATACGATGATATTTAAGGAAGTGTGGCCAATCATTTGATGCTTTGTTTATTCCAATGGATTTGATTGAAGAAAATGAGGATAATGGTGAAAGAAATGGAATGTTTGAATCAGATTGCTGCGCATGGAGTGCTTTTAGTTTCAATCGGGAGGAAATTCAGGAAGACCGAAAAGATGTGGGTGATCTTGCAGCACTTGAGGGCAATAATGTAGCTGTGTACAATGCTGCTTCACTTGAACAAGGTTTATTGCAACAGGTGTAGTATTTTTTTCTCCTCAATAATTTTTGATTAACTCATGGATTGTTTGTATAACGGATCATATTATGTAGGCATTAAAATGTGAGTAAATTTCGTATAATCCATAAAAATATGGTAGTATAATTTGATCCATCAAATCTCATCTTTCAATTCTACTTGTTACATCATTGAAAAGATTTTTCTTAATATGCATAACGGTAGTTGTAGTGAGTGGAACGGGAATCGGTTAAATGGAACAAAAAGTTCCTTTAAAATCAAGCAAGTTAACAAGTTAAACTAATAACTTTATTGTGTTTGTGCATATTAATCAATGCAGAATTTTTTTTACTCAGAATTTTTTTTAAATTTTTTTTACTCACTTCATGCTAATTAACATTTCAAATTTCGTTTTATAATGATGTATATTTTCGCTGATCCGTTCTAGGTTGCAAGAACATTTACTGAAAATGCTACTGCTTTGGAAACTGCGGTGCTACAAGATCAAAATCCTGAAGAATTGCAGGATTTTATAGTTGAAAACGCTCAGTCTGCATTTGTAAAGCATGATGAGATGACTCCTTTTGAAGTACTTGATAAAGTACAAAATGACACTTCAGAAGCCATATTGGAAAACCTGAAAATTGGTAAGAGGAAGGTATAGTTTGTTCCTAAAATTGATTCAGATATTTCTATTTCCAAATTTATCTTTCTTTTTCTCTTCAACAATTCCCTCAGCTACGGAAATAATTATGGGTTTGTAAGAATTTTGCCCTTCCTCTATCTCGAGTGTTTTGATCCTGTTGTTCATAAACTGCTTTTATTTAACAGGCTAACATCACAGTGAAACTGGAAAATAGTGAATCAATGAGTTCTTCCTCCGACAGCGAATTTATTCTAAGCGAAGATGAGAGAGATGAAATCGAACCCGTAACGAAAAAGAAACGTCAGCAAAAAATTACAAAGACGGGAAAAGTTCGCGAGAAAGAACGAGATGATGCTGATGATGATTACTTTAGGAAGAGAATACGGTAGTTTAAATTAACTATCAAATCATAATTCGAGTTTCTCATTAAATTCTGAAAAAAATCTTTAACCAGTATGTCAATGCACGAATTATTTTATTTGAATAAATACAATTTTCTTAGTCTTATGTTTAGGACTTACCTTGCTCGATTGGAACTTTCAAAAATTGAATGTGGCAAAAAGAAATTACAAGAAGAGAGTGACTTTCACGAATTGAAGAATGATATAAAAATACCTAACGATTGTTGGAAGAAGCTATATAAGTTTGTTTTTTCTGTCAGTAATTTGTGTAAGAAGGAAATGCATAAATTCAATGAAGATTTTGCTATATTTTCTGCTTGTGGTATCTAATAAATCAGTTGCCAAGTGTGGAAAGAAATGGGGTTGTATCTGAAATCAGAAGCTGATTAAGGTACTTTCAAGATTAGATTAGAGCAGGGGATAGTGTGAATCGGAAAACCAAGTTGTCAGGATTGTTTGAAATAATTTAAGTTTTGCTTTGCTCTAATGTTTTGTTTTAAATCGTTGTAGATATCAAAAAACTGGCATAAGATGGTTGAACGAGTTGCATAATCAATGTGTTGGTGGCATTTTAGCTGATGAGATGGGTCTTGGGAAAACAATTCAAGTGATTTCATTCTTGAGAGCACTAGCATTTTCACGTTTGGAAGATAGAGGATTCAGGTAATCTCAGAATTATTCATAATTGGTTTCTTAATATTTATTATTTGTTAGGGAGGTATTTATAGTTTCTTCAAATATTTATTAAAATATTCATTTATAGTTTTTCTGGTCTTGGCCCAGTGCTAATCATATGTCCAACAACATTAATATATCAGTGGTTAAAGGAATTTCATACGTGGTTCCCACTTTGTCGTGTTGCTATTTTGCATAATAGTGGTTCTTTCCAAGGTCAAAGTGAGCATTTAATTCGGAAAATGGTTGTCCCAAGAAGGTTTCTTTTCCGTTTAATAATCGAAAACTTTGAAGTTTTCCGATTTAAAAAAAGAAACACTGGAAAAACTTTATCTCTAATTACATCATTAAAATGTAAAATCGCTTCAGTTTATATTAAATCACGCGAAAAAATATGCTTCCAAGCTATTTTTAGTGATGGCAGTGTTTTGTTGACGTCATATGGAACGTTTGCTAAAAATCGGAAACAGTTGGTTGACAAAATTTGGCATTACGTCGTCCTTGATGAAGGACATAAAATTAGAAACCCCGAAGCACAGGTAGGTAGCGTCAGTTTTTTATTTGGATTTTTAGAAAACGTTCTATGAAAGTTCATGATTTTAAGTAGTTTCTCTCATTTTTATATTTTTTTTCACTGTAAATATACTAAAAACTTAAATTCAATACATAACAGCGAAAGAATATTAACATAAAAGAGTTGATTATTGTGCTGATTTTTAAAGGATATAAAATCATTAAATCATATTGAAAATGTAGAACAAACATTCAGGAATGTTAATACTGCAATATAACAGTTTAATGTTTGCTAATTTTTTAAACCTCAAATTGATGTAACATGAAGTTGATTATCTCAAGATGGAGTATTTCCCAAAGCTACTGCGTAATATTTTCTCCGTACTTGAAATCATAAGTCTCAGTTTTAAGATTACTCTTGCCGTGAAGGAAGTACGTACTCCTCATAGACTGATTCTAAGTGGTTCGCCGTTGCAAAATTCTCTTCGAGAATTGTGGTATGTTTTCATACCATTTTTGTTTCAGATTAAGATTACAGCGCACTCAACTATGTATAGAGTATGACCTTAATGATTTGAAACATAATTGTGAAAAGTATGAGTTAAACTAAGTTCGAAATTTTTTCATTAATGTTTTGTAGAATCAGTTGGCAGTAAGAATATGATGTCATTTATAGGTCATTGATTGATTTTGTTTATCCTGGTCGGCTCGGTGCTTTGAAATCATTCATGGATAAATTTTCGATTCCAATCACCCATGGAGGATATGCAAATGCTACTGCTGTTCAAGTGCGCACCGCTTATAAATGTGCCTGCATTTTGAGGTTCCTAGTATATTTAATTCCTATGGAAATCTTTTAGAGATTTGCTGTTAAAGATTTTATGGAGGATATTTGTATCAAGAAATGTCTCAATGTTGTAATTAGCAGTTTTATGGTAGTAACTGTCCTTTTATAATTTGCAAATGAAAGATAATACGCCAGTCTTTTCCTGGAATGGTTGAGGTTTATGCAGTGATATCGCGCTAAGTGATTACGAATCGCGCTGAAAAGGAAGTAAAGATTTTCTGCAGTATTGGCTTATCTAATTCATAACTCGGAGAACATTAATAGCTACATGTTTATTCGCACGCTTACTCTGTTTTCAAGACGCTTCTTTAATTTGTCTTTGAAACATATTATTTTTTGCATTTTTGATTAGTGGTAGAAATCTGACATATTTTTTACAATTCAGCATTTCAGGGATGCGATCAATCCTTATCTCTTGAGACGTCTAAAAAAGGATGTTGAAATGTCTATTCATTTACCTACAAAAACAGAACAGGTTGATTTTTATTGATGTCTTTTATTTGTTTCATTTAGTTCCGAACATTTGATTTCAGATTATGACTCTAAAAGTAAAGCATTAATTTTTGAATTCTTAACTGTCGCTTTTTAAGGTACTTTTTTGCAATATTACGCCATGCCAGCGTAGACTTTATGAAGAATACTTGTCATCACGCGAATGTGGCCATATACTCTCTGGCAAAATAGATCCCTTTGTTGGTTTAATCACATTACGCAAATTGTGTAATCATCCAGATCTTATAACTGGTGGACCAAATAAATTTAGTATGAATTTTATTTTAACAACCAAGTTTTAAAAGTTTTGCAAGATTGATTGTTTTACTGACTATTCATATTTTATTATTCATCTATATCACTGATATGATGAGTTGTCAATACATTTCAATTATATTGGAATCCTCTCATTTGATTTTTCTAATGAGATTGCAGTATCGCTGTTGTAGATGACTACGATGTCACAGCTGATGAAGAAATGGATTTCGGTGCACCCTGCAGAAGTGGTAAAATGCAGGTAATTAATGATAAAAGTTTCGTTTTCCACACGATTTTGAGATACTTGACTATACACATTTTGTAAAATATTGCGAGAATTTACATATCTGATGTAAAAGCTAGTTCATACTTCTTTCCAGGTACTCAAGACTCTGCTTAAGTTATGGGGACGACAAGGTCAAAAAGTTCTATTATTTTCTCAGAGTCGACAAATGCTGACGATATTGGAAAAATTTGTGATTCAAGAAGGGTGGCTCTTCCTTTTTGTTTATATGATTAATTTTTGTTTATATGATTAATTTGCAAACTGAATTTTATAAACAAAGTCTTTACCGTGCGAATTTTTGTTTTAGATACGAATATCTGCGAATGGATGGCGCAATATCAGTTAAAAGCCGTCAATCACTTATTGAAAAATTTAATAAGGTTATAGTATCCATTTATAATCTGGTTTCTGACACATTTTAATCCAATCCAATGTATTTTTGTTTAATATTCAAACTTATTGACTATGTAAAGGATGGAGGACTTTATTAGAGTTTTTGGTCCAAAAAATTATTCTCTACGTTTTATCGTAGATAAGGCCTTTACTTTACCATTTTAGGATGCTAAAATTTTCATTTTCTTGTTAACTACTCGTGTCGGTGGTCTAGGAATCAATCTTACTGGTGCTAATCGAGTGGTGATTTTTGATCCTGACTGGAATCCTTGTACTGATATTCAGGTATACAGAATTTTTGCTTACAAAGGATACTTTTTCTATCAGTTATTAAGAAAAATACAGCGAAAAGATTTGAAGGCACGCGAACGAGCATGGCGTATTGGACAAGAACGTGCTGTTACCATATATAGATTGTTAACCGGTGGCACCATTGAAGAAAAAATTTATCACAGGTACGATTTTTCTCCTATATTTTT